AAAGAAGATAGTATGGGTACATAACAAATAGCCACAGTCAACAATGAGGAGTGTCAACAATAATATTCCTCATGTTTAGTTTAGTAATTTAAGATAGTTTAAGCTTGGAATGCTTCAAAATAGTAGTGCCTACTGTGACATAATAGTCTGTATTTGGAAAGCCGGTGAACCGAATCCGATGGATTTTTTTTTTACAGAAAACAGTACAATAATTGTGCTTCACAGTTATGTAAGAAAAGAAGAAATTACAGTTATTTTTTTCGAATTCTTGTACAACCCTCCAGGGGGACATAACATGCAAAAGTTATCATTCCAAATAAACTGCATATATAGGCCTACCACATCTTGTCTCTTGAGTAAATTCTCCGTACAGGGTGAGTAAAAAAAACGAAACCCAAATGTCGGGACTATTATTCCATTGAAGTTCTGCATGTAGCACTTTCAAAATCTGGAACATGAAAGCCCAATTCATAAGCTTTATTTTAGTACAAGAATCATTCAAATCGCTCATGTACTTCAAGTACTATCCGTGGATCACAAAAAAGTGTGCGTTCTTTCAGCAAACGAAACCAATTCACACACATCTTTATGTGATTTGTTTTCGTTTTGCTGAAAGAACACTGAGCTTTTTTGTGATCCGTAGACAGAACCTTAAAATGATGGTTGTGTTTAAAATTCTGTAACTTGAAAAGTACATAAGTGATTTGAATGATTTTTGTACTAAAAGAAAGCTTATGAATTTGGCTTTCATATCCTAGATTTTGAAAGTGCTACATGCAGAACTGCACTAAAACAATGGTCCCAATATTTGGGGTTCGTTTTTTTTTTTAACTCACCCTGTATAGTCTTTGCCTAATTTCTGATCCCCGTATTTTTCCGTGCCACGTGTACTACATTTAGTATTTTTAGCAAAGAATCGTGAGTTATTTATTACTAAAGAGGTAATTTCTACAGGAGGTATAAAGCCAAGTTGAATATTTTATGTGAACTAAGGCTTTGCATGACGGAAGTGCGTGACTATATAGTGAAGGGACTATTATGGTTCGATCGTCTCAAACCCACCTCTTTGATAGCGTCACGTTCTGGCGGTGAACCATTGCCGTATAGGGTCCAGTTTGTAGGGAGGAGCACTCAATGCATTGTATCGGTGCGTTTCCGCATATATTGGGGGGGGGGGGGGGCAAGTGGTAGCACAGACGTTGAGCGGGGGGGGGGGGGGGCGTGCCCCAATGGGCCCCATGTTACGCCACTATGGTGAACTAGACATTTCGTCAATCCTCTCGGAATGCCCTTCTCGCAAACTTCTCCCAAACATAGTCTCGACGTGCATTTTGCACTTAACACGAAATGGGGCAAGTCTGACAGATGTACATCTCAGGCTTGTTCAAGCATGGAGGAAGAAAAGTGTGCACTTTCTTGAAATGGCATGGCGTGTCAGGGGGTTGAATGCATTAGTGCTTAACGGTCAGTCGGCATACGGACGGGACTCGGGCATGTCGGCCAGCGTCAGGCTTGACTGCAGACAACTGATTGCGGTTTACTTGACTTGAAAATATTTGTTTGTTGTTTGTTGCTAGGTCGTGCGGACCACTGACGAGGCCTAATTAAAAGTCAAGACCTTGTGTCCGGCCAAGAAATGATGGGCCGAGGGATGTCATGTGAATGCACTTGTAAAAATGAAGGGTCACGGTATTGAAAATGACTTTATTCTGTTCTCTTTTTTTGACAATTGGATGAAATGGGACATGAAAGTCCTTAGGCCTGGGCTGATGTTATTTATTTATTTATTTTTTGTTTTGTTTTGCAAAAAGGCATTTGTCATTTGTGTCAGTGGAGAATACTCGTCTGCAACTTAAGTGTTAGCGAGACATAATCTCTCGAAAGGTTGTTAGTTTTTGCAAAGCAAAGTATCTTTCCTGCCTGTATCTTCTTCAAGACGAGGCCAAACGTGGGAACACGGTACGCGTACGAGAGCCTCAAACAAGGGCGGATCCAGAACACCTTTTTATTTCGGGGGCATCAAAATTGTGGTCCCCAGAAAATGGGTCCCAAAAATGAAGGCGTGGGGTTCGGGGCCCGCTTAAGGGCCCCGAAAATGTGTTGGATTCTAGATGCTCTGTGGTGTGATCTGAGAAGAAGGTCTTTCTGCATTTGCAACAACACTATTGTTTCAAGTGGTATGATATTTTAATCAGCTGCGCTGCGATATCGATTTTTTTCTTCTAAATATAAATATACTTTTCCTTTAATTCTCGGTCTGTGGTAAACGCTGTCTAGTTCACATGCAATCTAATTGTATGCAGACAAGGTTATTAACATGTGATGTGTGAGGTAGGCTTTTTGTATGACAGCACGGACATATATCACTAGGAATATTTTATTTCGAGGGAAACAAACTGGCAATTTCCTGGCCGTGTATTTTTTAAATCAATAAATCATCCTTTATTATATTCCAAGTGGGTTTAGTGCAATGCACTACATGGACTAACAGCACTCCTGTGTATATTGCGGGGTGGTCAATTATGCTAATGGTTTGAGTTCACGCATCTTAATTGGTTTTCATGATGTCAGTGTTAAATTCCAATGACCAAGACACCGACACGATGCAGGCGTCAATATAGTACGATTGACCAATGGCAAGAGACTAAGACAACATGAAGGGTATATAGAAACAATACATTGGTGCCGCCCTTAATGATTTGGTACACTACAAAAACTGTAGTGTTAAGTTAACACCATTCGGTATCTCTATAGGACAACACCAGTAAAATTTAACACCAGATGGTCCTATATAGATACCAATGGTGTAAATTTAACACTGCAGTTTTTGCAGTGTACAAACCAATTGCGGCTCAGTACATGATTTTGAAGATAAAAAGTACAGTGTGATCATGCATCGATTTTGAAGATAAAAAGTACAGTGTGATCATGCATCGATTTGCTGGTATTGATTTTTGCGTTGCTTGTAATAGAATGGTCGGGTGCATACATAATCATTGCTCAGCTGCTGCAAGCAATTCCAATCACCACCACGCCCCAATTTTATCCTTGTATCGGCCAATGATCTTGTATTACAACCGATTTACTGAGATATATGTATAAAATGAAGCCCCCTTTATGTACAGGCCAGTGTCGACAGAAACCAGTCTTTTTTTTAAATCATTAACTATAAAGAAAACACGGCGCATTAAGTTCCCAGTGTTTTCGCTTTAATTACTCTGAAAGCAATTACTTTCACAGTATACAACAAACACAACTCAATATTGTACAAGCAATTCTGAGGCCAAGTGTATTATATATAGGCCTCCTGCACGAAAACCCAACTTCATTGTAGTTAATTCGGTTAATGATTAAACCTGCATGGGCTTTATGAGCACAATTTGTCATTCTGATGAGACGTCAAAAACTACGACCTGGAATTTACGTGCGTTTTAGAGGGCCGGATGCATGCTCCATATCCACATACATTTTGATCCGACATTTTAAAAACGGTTTGTTATATAGCAAAATACAGTATTGCGGGACAATATAAAACTCGTTATCTGAGTAATTTGCAGGACTAAGTGTTTGGCATAGAACTCATTTTACGATATAGCAAATGGATGATGGTTTGCAATGTAGATATCTCATTATTAAAGGTTGTCTTTTTGCAATACAAATGACAAACCAACCTAAGATTTTAACTGCTGATCTGTTTTAAATCCCTCTATCTTTACTCTGCTTTACCAACGCCAAGCGCAAATAATCTTCATTCCGTAACCCAACACCTGCATAAGTGATCCGGGGGAAACCAAATCATCCGCTTCGGCCCGGCACAAGTGGCTTTTCTGTAAGCGCACTTCACAAGAAGGCCGTGGAAAACCATGGAGGTATTCCTCCATGGGAAAACGTAAGACAAAAACATTACTATAGGAAGCAGGCATGACCAAGTCGTTGCCGTTGCCCATTACACCGTGTTTCCACAGATTGCAGAGTGTTTCCATTAGCGGTCGACGGGGACTACTTTGGAGGTCTGATGACGAGATGTACATGTATCCAGGGTCGAGAGACACATTATCTCCGCAGCACTAGTGCACTCACAAGTGCACTTTCCGTTGTGCGATCGGGCAATCATTTTGGAGTCAGTTTTTTAACGCACGAAATGTTATGCACCATTAAGATGTCTCACTGGACCAACTTCTACTTCCCGCGCACGTATGCTTGCGCGCCACTGAGCACTTATTACCGCGTACAATGCCTAATAACCAACGCACGGACTGAGGTTTTTGTTTGTCTGGATATCTTGAGTTCGATAAATTATGAAAAGATAACGTTATCAAGTAATGGCGCTGAGTGAAAAGAACCTTTAAACCACTCTCGATCAGTTATCATGTGCGTTGTTTAATTTGTATGTCGCATCCGGGACGACAGATTATATTGTATGACTGCTGCTGAAAATAAATTGTTGAGTGAAAAAATGCAGCCAGTTTTAATTTTGTGAGAATTGTAGGTCCAACTGTAATTGGATTGTGCCCCGGGCCAGATGGTGGAACACGACACTCTCCAATGAATAAATGCAACGTGGCAGCCGATTCGTTATATCCGGATCTACACTTACTGTCTAATAATATACTGCGATTTGAGATGTAAAAGATTTACCGTGAAATAGTCATGCAGTATGACAGGCGAGAAAAGAATTGTCTTGCAGCACCTAAAGCAAAATAAACATAAAGCATGCGGGGTTTTATGATCTTTTAATCTGACCGTCACATTCAACTAAGTCAAATGATGTTGATTATCAACTCGCCAAAGGGCGTCTACACCGCGCTGTATAACTCAACACCTATACCTGTCAGGTCATATGACTAACACATTTCATAACCTCTTGTTGTATGTACATGCTCCGAGCTAAAAGACCAACTTTCGTGACCGTCTGTAAAAGCTGATGCATTTTATTTGATAAGGTCTGTTTAGAAAAAACAAAAGATGAGCACATGAATAATATCCAATTTCTTACGTACCGTTAGTATCGTAATGCTGAAAAATCTCTGAGAATTTGTCAGCCGTGATGCGTTTGTTGTCCCTCAAATCCGGGTACTTCTGAAGAAAGTTCACGTAACTTTTTCTCCGCTGTTTGGACATGATGCAGGCAAATTCAAGCAGGCACGGTATAAGAATCCACGGAGGCGAAAGATGAAAATCGCCGCAAAAAAAGGCCGATATGTGGAAGCGTTGACGGTTGAGTTATTCTCAAGTTTATAGAAGTCCGGGCTATTGAGCGAGGCACCGTGTTGGGTCGTAAAGGCAGTGGGGCTCGTTACGGACTAAATTCCCCTCGTTCCGGTCGCACGGAGCAGCGAGCGAGGAGCGTTTGATGATAGGTAACCACGACAGTGACACGCTCCACAACACTGGCCGGGCTTTCGGCAAATAACAGTCTTTTTAAACAGCTGAAAGCGGCAATTATTCATGAATATCGAATGACGGGTTGCCAGGTGTGGGAGGAGGTTAGAGTCTGGTCGGTGACACTGATGAATAATTGTCTCCATCAATCCTCCATCCAGTCTCCCGTTGCCATGGCTACAAGATAACTGCCGCAGTGACCATCGATTGGTGTCCACTGCGCATGTATTGTGATCATGCCCACTGTGTGACAGTATTAAGTGATCCTTGTTGTCAGTATGTGTTTGTATTGCAATGTTCTCATCACGCACAATTACACTAATGAATTAACTTCCGCTAAGACAATTCGATTGACTTGTGTCAACAGATGGCGCCCTGTCATAAACAAGACTCTTTGTAGGCCAACCACTCTCCATATACACAGACATGGAGATCAATGAGGCCAATGGACTGTAATATTGACTGACGTAGTACAAGACCCCCTTAACACAGGGCTGCGACCTTTGGGCCTCCCTTTTGCGACCATAAAACTAGCCAGGTCGCCGTTGGTGGCTCAAATATGAGGCCGAATGGTTGCTTAGGTTGTTCAAAGGTGGTATATAGGCTGTTTAGCCATCGCCATGGACGCCATAGTCGCCGTAAATTTTTGAACATGTTCAAAAAAGTCGCACAAAGGTCGCCGAGGAGGTTGGTTGCTCAAAGGTAGCTGAAATGAGGCAGAAGGGGGGCACAAGCATTGCCGTGGTTGCAGAATGGATGCACAATGGTCGGCCAATGGTCGCCACGTAAGAGATCCGTTCTGTTGCAAATTTTACCGTCAATCTGGGCGGTGCTCTTGCCTCCCTTGTGACTCAAGGGTCGCCTAGGAGGCAGAAGCATGGCTGAATGGTCGACCAGTGATCACCGTTAGTTGCCGTTGGTCGCCGATGATGGCACAGACGAGGCTCAATGGTTACCCAAAACATTGCTTGGGGGTCGCCTATGTTGCCTAAAATCGCATTGGTTGCCGTAGGTTGCAAACAGGGGAAGCACAGGGAGGGGAGGCAGGCAAGTGGCTCAGTGTACGCAGAGGTCGCTCGTAGTTTCATGAAAATGCCCGAAAATTGCAGTTTTGGTGGTTCAGGGGAGGCACAAGGATCGCTGGAGCAGTTTAATACATAGAAACAGGATTTTCTGGGTTTAGGTGACCATTGAGCGTCCTGGCCATTTTTTGGTCGCTCATAGGTGGTACAAAAGTCGCAGCCCTGTGTAAAGGGGCCATACCTGTAATTTGAAGAACAAAAAAACCTTTTTACCGTATGAGACCAGGACGCGTGACGGCGGGAAGTGTACACGTGCCTCATTTTTTGCGCCCGTTTATCTCTCTCTCTTTTTTTTTCTTTCTTTAAACATAACACTCCCCTTTTCCCCCCTTTAGTCACGTACTATAGATCCCCGTGTACATTTTTCCCTTTTGATAATTCTTTGGGTGAAATTGGAATAAGCTCTCTCGTTGTTTGTGTACATGCGGAAGAAAATGCCGATCACAAGCGCTTGAAATTTCGACGACATGGACACCCTTGTGAAAGCAAAATGAGTCTGGCCTTAAAAACTATCCCGTGGCGGCACATTTGCAATCGGAATGTAGGCCTATTTGAAACTTATTTTAAATTAACTGTGAAGGGAGGGGAAACTGATAAATTAGAATCTCAGAATAATATGACAGAACCAACGCTCAACCCGGAAATGCCAGTGCCTCTGCCAATTTTGGCTTATAGGCATATATATAAGCCAATTATTCGTTTTAAATCAAGTTTAAATCGGAAGTGAAGTATATCTAGGCCTATTAAAATGCTACGACGGGACAACTTTGTTTTGCGCATTTTTTTCTCAACGGCGGAAGAGATTCATGAAGCTCACAAAGCCCCCCCCCCCACGCCCAAAGGAAAAAAAAAATGAATTGTGAGCAGTTTTGCACTGCATCTGTATAGGAGCAAGTTTGGACGCAAACTATACAGGGTGAGTCAAAAAAGGAAACCTAAATGGCAGGACTATTATTTATTGAAGTTCTGCATGTAGCACTTTCAAAATCTAGGATATGAAAGCCCAATTCATAAGCTTTCGTGTGGTACCAGAATCATTGAAATTACTCATGTTCTTTTCATGTACTTTTCAAGTTAAGTGTTCTTTGAGCAAAACGAAACAGTTATAGGGATGTGTGTGAATTGTTTTCGTTTTGCTGAAACTTTAGATCACACACCTTTTTTTGTAATCTGTGGACAGAACTTTAAAACGGTGGGTTCGCCGCTTTGAATGCAGGCCAGTTAATGCACGATGGCCTTGGCGTGAAAGGCTAGTACCTGCGCTGCGCTGCTGCGCCGCGCCTTTTATGAGCGCCCTCAAGAGTTTGTCTTGCGTCAAAATGGCGACTTCCTACTGCAAAATTGGAAGGAGTGTCCTAAATTTGAGGGGACGCGTCTGTGCGACGAACAGCAGGGCCCGGTTAACTCACTTGAACTCGGTAAAACAGCTTTCGATCTAGCCGACAACTTTTAGTTCAAAATAGAATATTTAGCATTGCATAAAGGATTAAAAAATTTACCTGTGATTTTCTAATTGCAAATTATACTGCATCTGTTTAGTGATAAAAATTGAGACTAAGAAATTGTTTCTTCTGGTCAAGTATTGCTATGATGACAGCCATTTTCCTGAGATGGCACCAGGCTCGCTGAGTCACGCTTAGGTCGTATGGACCTTTGACCCACAAATAGCAGACCGAGTGAAGCGTAGCCGTAGAACCAATTTCTTGTCATTCATGTCATTCGCTGATCTGATCATATTCGCCATAAATTTACCAATGGATCACAAATAATACAATCTATTCTATCGTGCATGTTTCATTTTTTTTAGAGTGGATATTTTGCCGGCGGTAATCCCGGCAAGCTAACGTTTACTAAAGGTTTGCCGGCGGCAATCCCTATCAACAGAGGGCGCTGTACTCTCTAAGATAAGGTTGAATTATAAGATATATTAAATAACCATCAACGATTATGTAGCAACTGTGGTCTAGTTGATAAGCAACGTATCTTATGAGCGGGAAGACCCCGGTTCGATCCCGATCCCCGCAGGTGACATTTCTAAGTTTTTTCCCCATCCCCCAAAAATAATAATATTTTTCTTTTATTATTTTAACATGTCTCAAACATTTTATTGCAGAGTATAACATTTTCTTTTTAATATATCTTTTTTTAAAGGGAAATAAAGTTCGAAATTGTAAAATGGTCTGATTCCCATCTTGTGAATACAAAGTTACAACGATAATGTTGGCATGGAGCCAGACTAAAATTTGTCACCGAAAAAGGTCTAAGTAAAAAAAAACAGTAAATGCGCATGTTCAGTGCATATCCGGCAAGCTAACGTTTACTAAAGGTTTGCCGTCTCCGGCTAAATATCCACTGCCTTTTTTTTTACACGCACATGATGTACGTACAGATTGAGAAATGGGCGGTTGTTGATTGATGTTTTCCTTTTTGAAATTGAAGATGGTTGCATTTGCATTTGCATTTTGATTCGTTCTGGAAGGTATGGAAGGCAGGCACGCACGCTATGTGACATTTTCTCCGTTTTTGCATCTGGGAAGATGGATCAAGGAGAGGTCATTGATCATTCGTATTCATCGATCTTTGAGACCATCTGTGTTTGTTTTGTTGAAGTGAAAGTGCCATTGAAGAGAACATGCATATTGGGTTAAATACAGTTGAAGATGTGTGGGTTATTGGCAGAATACATGCAGGCCTACTTACTGGTAATAAAAAGCCGTCATTTTGAACTGAAAAGTTGTTTCAATTTGTACAATCTACCGGCGGCAATCTTGGAAAAAAATTGTAAATAAAAAGTCCCTCCTCTTCCTCTTTTTCAAAAAAACCCGGACAATCAACTGACATTTTGTTTTTATAAGCCTTAGGCCAAAAAAAAAAAGTCTCCGGTTTCTGGTATGCGCGCGCATCGCCGTAGCCATGCGTGTCGGCAAAATGAAAAAGTTTTTTTTTCAATGAAAGATGATGTCTCAAAACCGCCAAACTCACTGGTTTGACTGGAATCCTGCTACTGCACAATTTTAGCGTGTTTTTAGATGGGGTTATGATCGAGAATAAGCTTTATGTGGCCTCTCTGGACTCCCATATATTTGCACTAAGTTTAGTCGGGCACCATTTGCAGTCATCAGCCGACATTTGAAGCAAAAAAGTCAGGTAAAAAAAAAAAAAGCCGCGTCGCCGCACCAATTTTTGGACAAGCTCCATACCAGAAACCGGAGACTTATTTTTTTTGGCCTTACCAAAATGCCCGCATGTGCTTTGTCTCTAAAAACTCATTTGGGCAATTCCACCGTCACTCACGTTACATTTATTTGCCATGAGGCTACTTTGACCTCTCACTGCTTCAAAAATATTTGATCAAGCTGAACCAAACCCGCCAGACAACAACCTTGGGGTAAGGGGTACTCAAAAATGGACAGAAAAATTCAATCCATTCATTCACTTTTTGAAAATATGTGTTTTGTTGTCACTCACATTACAAAAAAAAAATTGACGTTGTGATTGCTTGTAGTTTGGAAGATATTAATATTATTAATAATATTTGGAAGACATACAGTTGTAATACATTTCCATTTTTCAGCCATGTCCACTTTTCTGTGGAATTGCCCTTTTGCACACCATTTTTCACCAGTTATGATAAGTTACCATTCAATGCTCCAGACACAAAACCATTGAGTTTAATATGTCTTGGAACTAAATTAACCCTCGGAGTCGAGTGACCAAAAAAATCACACCGTGAAACCACATGGAGAATTTTATCACCACACTGTTTCTAGGTCAATAACCCCCTCATGCACAAGATATAGGCAGGTCACATGGCCTTTGCATGGGCCAGGATTGTTTACGACCTGTCTGAGCTCTGGGCGGCACGAGGGGTTGACACAGAGAGATCGGCGGCACAAAAGGGTTGGCCACTAAGATATCCAAAAACTGCACAAAGGCATTAGGCGCCTCTTGGGGCTGCTGTCTTTCAACACTCCTTACTCTGCAGTGGTTAGGGTCTGGCAAATGGGAGTCTACAGGCTTGTGGTGTATAACAGGGGTGAGGATTACATGGAATCTTGGCCTTATTGGCTCATTGAAAAAAAAGTTATGACCATATTTGGGAAATGTGGAGAATTTTATCACCACGTGGCCACACCGAGGGTTAAGGCAGTGTAGAAGCTACTGGATGCCCTCTAGATAGTTTGCTCAGAGCCAGAGTCCGCGATTTTTCTTTAGCTTGAGAAACCAGTACTTGTAACTAAATATGTCAAAAAAGGGTGTTTTTAAATTGAATTTTAAATAAGGTTTAATACTAGGAATTAGGATTGGGGTCTGGTTACCCTAGAACTATTGGTATTGTGTTTACATGTACATGGTTTATCTGTAATCTCTAGCAAATTATAATATTGTGAAGGAAAACTGAGTAAAACCGCATTTAAATTTAGACCAATTAAAAAAAAAGAAACTTTCTTGGCCAGGCTTTTTGAAAAAAGGAAAGAGGCCCTTTTTTCCCCAGAAGGGCATCAAAGTTTCTGAGGTTTTATATAAAGAACAAAATGGCGTGTCCCACATACATGTGGCCTCTTGGATGTCCAAATACCACTCAGTTACCCCTCCGGCAAAACCTTGTTTTGATTATATAAATTTACATGTATGAGGAACTTTTTTGCTGTTAGTACATGTAAAGCTGACTAGTTGCTGACTTACCGTAGTCTAGTCATTTAAGGAGGGTGTGCCAATTCTTGTTTTCTTGATCCCCAGATATGCAGGAGCATCAGAATCCCTCCCAGTGGCAGCCAGCTTGTCCAATCACGGACCAGCTCCACAGCCACTGGCCAATCGGTTTCGAGTACCCTCAGCCAATCAGAAGCCAAGGAGAGAATCGAGACTCACCCTGTCCTGACCCTTCCCCCTGAGGACCAGGGGCTGAGGGAGCGATTCATCCCGATCTCTCGTCGCTCCTTGGTGCGTCTCTTGATGCAGGAGGAGGGGCTGTTGACCAGTGCAGACCAGGAGAAATTTGAGGAGCTTGCTGTGTCCCTGGATTGGACAATTACAAATCAGTACCATGGGGTGCTGGCAGAATTAAAGGTGCGTCTCCAACAGTCGCTTGACAAGTAGTCTGAAAATCTTCCAGGGAGTGTAAATTGAGTCAGTCACTAGTCAAAAGATGAGTCATTCACAGGGGCCGATTTCACGAAATGCTAAGACTCGTCTTGGGAAAGGTAACTCGTCTTAACTCATCACTCGTCCTAGGATCGATCTAAGCATGTCCTGACTTCATTAGCAATGCAGCTCCACTCATTTTAACTTAAGATTGGTATGAGAGTCATCTTATGAATGCGTGCATTAATTTGTATGTCGTCTGGAACTATTGCCGTTGAAGGCGAGCGTTGGCCTAGAGTTACAGTTTCGAGGAAGAAAACCGCTGTAGAAACAGATTGGAAAAGATTTCTGATACGTGGGTAGTTTTAATAAAAATAGCTTATTTACAAAATTTAAGTATACGCCAACACCTAGTCGACTTTTTAAAATAGAGCGATGAAATGGGGTGCAAGAATGACTCTATCATATCTCGTGTAGAACCACCCTGCGTGTTAAATTGATTGAGTAGAGTAGTTTTCTGGCAAAAGATTGTGTTCTATGCACACACAAGGGAAGTTGCTTTTGCAGGTTTCTTTTCAACTACTGTTTCGTCCAGCGGTAAGAAAAGTGACATCAGCAGGCCCCTTGTGATGTAATTGTGGCTGGCCTCTTCCTCCCTTAATTCCACAATATCCTCCAAACAGTACTGGTTGGCTTTGAAGGACCTTGGAAGGTAAGGGTGAAGAACAGAGATTCAAAGGCATGACAGGATTGCGGAACATTTTGTCTTGAAATGGACATCCCTCACGTGTGTGTAAATCCCTCATGCCAAAAACTTGTCACTGCAAGGAATTTGTATGAAAATAAATGTGGTAAAAGTTTGCAATGTTATTTTCTCTATCAATTTTGTTTTCCTAGCAACTCTTTGATCCGGTCAACCCGGACCAGGACACCATGGCGACAAGGTTTTGGCGGAAAAAGGATGTCCTAGATAGTGAATTCTGGTTGCTAAGGAAGCTAGTAATCATCATGGGCAAGGCCAACTTCCACGAGCTGCCCAGAAATGTGATTGAGAAGGCTCTCGCTGAACACGTCTCGGGAGAAGGAGTCAGTGTAAGTTATTGTTGCAGTCCATCACAAGTCCAATCACAAGTCCTCTCACAACTTCAGTCACAAGTTAAAGGGAAGATACAACATTTGCAAACATCACAAAACGAAATGATCATATTATCACGAAATACCTTACTGGATTGTTAGGGAATGACAATCTAAAGCATCCTGTAAAATCGTGGCTCCTGGTGTGCCAACATTTTCAAGAAAAATTGTATTTTTCCAACGCTGGTCGGCCAACCAGCATTGGAGAAAAATGGCTTATTTTCAATAACTGCTCCTTTTTTTCACATTTAGTTATTCCGCATTTTTTGCAATTGATTACACACATATGAAGAGGTACATGTACAAGCCTGCCAGACTGATACTCTGACCTTACAATTCCCCAAAGTCTACAAATTTCTCCGTTTCATCTTAAGTTGTGTCAAGGAACCAAACTATAAGAACATGATTGGTTTTCTTGGTTGTTCCAGCATCTACAAGCCCAAAACGTGAAGCAAGTCAGTTTAACAATAGTTGCTATATCATTCTAATACTCCAACCCATTAATTTCTGAAAATTGCAGCAAAATCAAACGTTGTACATTCCCTTTAACAGAGGATAAACAATAAGCAAGGAAACACTTTTGTTATATCATGGTCTTGGATACTGTCATTTCATTGGTCTAGGACGGCCACATGTCTGGACAATAAAAATGCATGTCACACACTGAGGGTGATATCACACTGTGTTCATTGGGGGCATTGCGCACTTGTGGAACCTGCCGTCGCGCCAGCTTTGCGCAATGAGTTATCAAAGGTTACATCGCAGTGATTTAATTTATTTCTCACACAGTAACTTACAACCGTTTATCTTTTTGAGTTATTGGCACGATATAACAAAACAATTGTTGACTGCTTTGGTGTGGGATATGCCGTTTTTAACCCCTTGGGTGCCTCGCCTTTGGTGCTAAGCGCCCTTCAGGTATTAAAAAGGTAATATCCCACATCACAGCAGTCAACAATTGTCAAGTGTCATAATTTATTTGAAATAATTTGAGACTTGACTTGAGACTAGAGGACTTATGCTGGACTCATAATGTGTACTTGCCCTTCACTGACGTAATTTTAGAATCACTGTATGCTCAGTGTTATCCAAGAGCCTTCCCCTCTCCCCACAAAAAGCTCGCAAACTTGCTTCTAAATATGGTACTGGACACCGTCTGTTAGGATAATAATTGTACCAGCGCCCTGTGCTATTTGTGTCTTAATTTTTGACATGTCATGTTGACATCTTTATGAAGCCAGGTGGGTTTGGAGAGTTTGGAGAAACCTTTTAACCAGTTCGCGCCGGATTATTTTGACATTGACCGGACCCAGGCGCGGGATTGTTTTTCACAAACCTCGATGCCAGATGGGTTCAGGCCGTCATCTGCGGGTGGCACACCCTGATATTTCTGGCCTCGCTCGCTGCCAGTGAGTCGCTGACAGATATTTCTGGCCTTGCTCGTTGCGTGTTTATCTGTCATCCGTTTATACCGCAAAACCTTTGCATGTATATCCGACGTGAACTGGCTAAAAAAAGTGTTCCCTGTGCTTTTTTTGCGTTTCACCTCGAAAAATTGATTTTGTCTTTTGTTTTGATTTACTTTTTTTTTAGAAATATAACAGTCATTTACTTTTGAATGGGCCTTGGAACGAAAAAATCCACTGATGTTTAGTTATTAAATTATTGCTTTACAAAATCGAATTATTGGCTGGCTGCCAGACTTTCGCAGGATGGGTTCATATGCAAAATTTCTTTTTCAGAGGGTTGCAGACGTCACAAATCAAAATAAAGTAGTTTTTCGTTACAACATACAATGTACAAATTGAAATTTGTAAGGAGAAAAAAAAGAAGGTTTTTTAAGAGCACAGGGTATCATCTGTAATACAGATTTTCAGATGACTGGTTTTGAGGATTTTGCAGTATAAAATTAACGAATGTAGAGCAAAGTACAAAGAGTTTGTCGTTGGTGTCCTGCAGAGAGGTAGATTTTTGAATATTCAGGAAAATTTCAGGCAATTGTGGTTGATGTTAGTTCGTGATTACTAGATGCTGGGGTTCTGCAGTGCTATAATAGCAAACAGCTGCGATAATGAAGTTGGTTTCATATTTTTCCATTGCAGGTAAGCGTCAACCCAAAGAAGTATGACATTCTCAGGTTCTGGGCTCTTGGCAAGGAGCTACCCAAGGAGAGAGTGCCACTCTACAAACGTCTCTTCTCGTTCTTATTCTACCGGGTCACCAGGCAGCAGCCGCCAGCACCCATCGAGTACTACAAGAGGGTGGTCCTGGCCGTTCGCCCCAAGGGCAACAATAAACTCATCCTCAAGATGTTTAAAGAGATCCCGACTGGGGCTCTGGAGCAACTCCTACCGGATGGTAAGATCCAGATGACTCGCTGGGACCAAGGAGTCCTGGGTACGGCCATCGCCATCGGCTCCCTGAGTCTCCTAGTCAAAGGGGTGACTTTACTGGCCGACATCAAGCTGGACTGGACCCTGATCACTGCCTCGGTGACAGGCCTGATGGCCCTGAGTGCCTGGAACAAATACAAGAACCGACGCACCCGGTACATGATGCAGCTGTCCCGGACGCTGTACTTCAAGAACGTTGCCAATAACCGGGGAGTCTTGACCCTCCTGGTAGACCGGGCCCAGGAGGAAACCTTCAAGGAAGCATTGCTAACTTACGCGTTCCTCCTAGCAGAAAGACCACCGTCATTTACCTCACCACCTTCTCAGGCAGTTGAGGGTAACAGCAGTCTTCCAGTGTCCCTTGGTAAGCAAATGCAGTCAACTGTGGTTTTTGAAAGCAAGATGAGTCCCACTACAGCGTGTCCCAAAAAAAATGTCCCTCTCATAGACCACAGAATAATTACCGAAATCAAGTTTTATACTCAAATAAGTTTACATATTTAGAAAGCCCACTTAATTTTGTAGTTCCTGTGAAAATTTCAAAGGTCTCGCTTCATTGGTTTTGAATACACAGGCTCTTATGTAACAGCAGTGCTTTCCGGCCCATTCAAAGTTTGATAAAAAGAAATGCACACTACAGACATACCATACATGTAATTATTTCATGCTTCACTTTTATTTTAACAACTGTGTTCTTGTTTTTGTTATTAAGTAACTAAAGTCAAGTTCATTTACTTTTTTAAATGAAAACTAATCAAAGTTCAGTCCACTGGTCGTGTTTGCTTTCACAGGGTGTGTTCCACTTATGGGTTGTCCTTCAATGTCCAGCTTGTAAAGACATTTAAGGCAGTGCAGAAAATGTAGCACTGCAAACTTGGAATGGGCTGAAAAGCACTGCTGTTACATAATAGACTGTGTATTCAAAACCAATGAAGCGAGACCAATGAAATTTTCACAGAAGTTACAAAATTATATGGGCTTTCTAAATCTGAACACTAAATTGAGAATAATACTTGATTTTGGAATTAATTTAGCAGTCTATCAGAGGGACATTTTTTTTGGGACACGCTGTATATACAATGAGTTGCTTGTCTCACAGTGTGAATTTACACACAAACTAGACACTAAAAAGCTCATGTAACTGACAAAATTCAGATTATCATAAAGCCCTAGCCTCCAGCGTTTTAAGTACTTGTTGGACTCTTCTTTTTCACTCTTCATCATAAAGGGGAGTGCTTCAGATTTTTTTGTGTGTTTTACATTAATGTCAATTGTCAAACTCGGCAAAATAGTGATATCATCTACAAAGGCAGAAAATTCTGTGGTAGAACTGCTGGAGCACCAAAAGTTCAAACAAATTTTGATCTCTGGGCATTATAAATTCTCTTTTTTGTATGTGTGTGTGTTTCTTTGGCAGTTTGTCAGTTCCAATGTCTTTATGGAAAACTGTAACAGTGTGCTACAGTTAATATTGATCATTTGTATACAGAATAAGTAGTAAGGCGTCGGAACATAGCGCAGACATTAATGAAATTTTATAAAGTGTGTCCAAAACGCAGTTTAACCCTTACTCCCTAGGCCTTTTTGCTAGGATGTAGCCTCAATCCTGCCAAATCCTCCAATTGGCCTCATGGAAAAATAGCATATAGCCTCAATCCTGCAAATTCCTCTGTTATTTCTTGAATATGGTCCATGGAGGGATGACCACTGCCTGAATCCTGCAAAATTCTCCGGCTATGTCTGTCAATAGGCTGAGGCAGAGGCAGTGACATCCTGGAGCAGTGCGGCGGATGTCAGGTATAATCAAGGACTAAATTTATGCACGGCTGAGCATAAACAACACAAGGTCCGGCCCGAAACCTTGACACAGTGCGTACTCCGAAATCAGCAACGCACTTTTGCCATGTAACCTCAATCCTGCAAATTCCTCCAATTTGGAAAAAGGATTTTGGAGGATTCAGGGCGGTTAGGGTTAAAGACGTGGATATTTGCACAAAGTGTGTTAGATGTGTAATGCTATCATGGCAGCTATTTATTGGCATTTGCATGATTTCATTTCTGTTGTCATAGTTTCCTCCATGATTTTCTTTTTTTATTCTGTCATCCAAATTACTTTGTGTCTGTCACATTTCAGGTGGGATACCAGCCTCCTTACTAGAGCGCAAGATAGAGAGCTGGGTGAAAGAACGCAGCAAAGCAACCGTTGAGTTTGACTCCACAGCTGGCACCAGACTACTAGAAACCTTTGGCATCCTCCGGCGAGACGAGGAGGATAACCTGAGCATCGTCAGCATAGATGCCGCTCTGCACGGTCTCCCCCGGCAACCGTTGTCCATGGCAACCCGGGACGAGGAGCCAGAGCTGGATGAAGGGTACGACAGGGAGATGTTTGAGAGCGAAGAGGAGTACAGGAAGGAGGAGAGGAGAAATAGCAAATGGGGATGGCAGTGAGGGGAAAGGGAGCCTGGAGGGAAGGCTAGGCTAGTCTCATTGCAAGGCATTGTCAGTGGAGGCTGGAGGGGAAGGCTAGTCTAGACGCATTGCAAGGCATTTTCAGTGGTGACTGGAGGGGAAGGCTAGTCTAGTCTTGATACGTGACATTATCAGTTGGGGGGGTTGGAGGCAGACTGGTCTAGTCTTGATGCAAGACATTAGTAGTTGGGTCTGGAGTAGCAGGCTAGTCTAGTCTTGATTCAAGTTATCAGCAGGAGATGGCTAATCTAGCCTTGGCAAAGCATTATCTGTAGGGCTTGGCTGGGCTAGTGTTTGATATCAGACATAAATCAGTGGGGTATATGGAGAGAAAGTCTAGTCGTGATGTTGGATTGGAGGGGAAGACTAGTCTAGTCTTCTCTCAAGGCTAACTATGTTCTTTATGTGCAACTTTGCCCTGTACAATGTTGTATGTCTGCAAAATTAATTTTATGAACATTTAATAAAAGAATAGATGTTAAACAGGATTAAGCCTCTGTACTGATGACGTCACAAATTGTTTACATGTGTGCTTTTCTATGGGAGCCTAATGAGGACGATGGTTTCGTAACCCCATAGAAAAGCGCACAAGTAAACAAAGTGTGACGTCACCAGTACAGAGGCTTATCGCTTCACTCCTTTTGGTAATTCATTTGACAAGCCCACAAGAACTCTTCTTTGTGATTTGGGTTTGTCTTTTAAGAACTTGGTCTTAGATTGGCATTTTTACTACATGAATGTCTTGTTTTTGTGTCTGCCTCGCCCACAGATCCTTGCAAATCAAGTAACGCTCTTAGGAATAATGCAGCTAAGATAGGTATTGGTGTTGAATTGTGGGACTACATGGGGGACGGGAGAGCTGAAAGTTCTTAGGGCCCAACAATACATTTCAGTATGCAATTTGGTCCTTATCCATTGGAAGTTTGAAGAAAATGATAAAACTTGGACAGGACCACAAATATTTCAAATGATGCTACTATTTGGGCCATATGACATCACACCACGTCATCCTTGTGAGTTTACAAAATTTCAACCTCTTTGACAAAAAAAGGTAAAATTAACTGGGGAATTTTCCAATCAACTCGCTCTCTTCTCCTCCCTGCAAACCACATTCTGCATGTACGACTGAGTTTGTAAACTTCAGCTGTTTGAGAAAGATTTACATAATGTATTCATTGGATAGGCAATTAACACCATTGTAATTAGGCGTCCATTATACAGAGCTGTTGTCATGTCCATTACAGGTTCATCACAAGTCCGTCACAAGTGAAATCAGTTCTTAAATCAAGGGATGATCAAGTAATGCTCGGATGACTTGTGATTGACTTTTGATGACATGGTGACTTGTGAAGACTTACATTTGCTTGGCTACAACTCGGTCATAAAACTTGAGAATTGGCATGGATCAAGTTCAACTGGTATGCCTTGGGATGTGTGACCTCGTTTTCAGGTTATTAATGTTTGCAGGATGGGTGTTAGGTAAGGGAGGGCTCAATATTTGCCCTGCTCCTCATCCCATGGAAAAGTGTATTAGGAAACATTTTACCTACTCATATTTTCTGAAATTCAGTGAAAAAAAGTTCCAAACAAAATCTCAAGCTTGTGGCTTATAAAAGAGATCATCACCAAAACGTGGTTCTTTTACTGTATAAGGTTGTTTATTGCAAAGAATTGATTCGTGAATTCTTGGAGTGGAGTTTCTGAGTTCCAGATTTGGGACGCAATCAGTGGTGTCAATTGCCTTGCAAACAATTGTGAGTGTACAACCACTTTTGCAAATGTGTTCAGTAGAGTGCTAGATGTGTCTGCATGGACCCTAATTCCACATGGCTCAGAAGCGGAAAGTTTTGCTGTTGTTTTTGTGTGGCATGTTTCTCTGTCCGAAGCCGTTGATTTATTGAATAGTTTGTTGCTGATTAACAAAAATAACAGCAAACTTTTCTGCCAGAAGTAGCTTAGTGGAAAATAGCCAAAAGCCTTTTGCACTGTTTATCTGTTTTTCAGTAATGAATTGAATTGGAAATACACTGTACAACTCTTTGTAGAAGAAAGACTTCATGTCGTGTTTCAGCATGGAATGTTTAAATTCTCCTAAGCTCAGCAATTTGTCATTTTGACAAGCAGTGGGGAAAAAGTAAATTGGTAAGGCTGAAAAAGTAACAATGAAAGAGAATGTTGTTTTCAAATACTCCATTTTAACTTCTCAAAATCAAATAAAATTTGAATCTGAAAAATGTGGGTTGGTGTAGTAAAAAATAACATTTTTAGCTTCCAGCCTTGTTGTCTGCTGGATTCTTATATGAAGTTTTTGTCTTGATTCGCAAGTATGTACATTCAGAAACTGCAACAAAAAATATATGTTTTGTTTAACAACCAAGCCTGTAGTTCTACGAAGACATTTAGAAATCATTGAGCAGTTGTCAAGGATATAACATAAACACTTAAGCCTTTAAAATTGTTTTCACTTTCAAGACAGTTTTGTTTGAAGTGGAAATCTGTAAGTGTTATCATCCGTAGAGCAACAAGTCTCTGTCTTTCTGCATTTCCTGTAGGACTATAAACACGTCATGACCATTCACACAGACTTTTTGTGGTGGGACTGACGTCAAAAATGAGAGAAGTCAATGACGCATGTATATATTGCAAGCCATCTGTGTGATATTGCATATGTGATGTCAGATGCATGAAGAAATAAATGTATAAATGAATTGATTGAAATTTTTCTGATTGAATTAAGTCTTTTCTTTGATCTGAATCAAAATTACTGGAATCGTAGAGATTTCATGAGATAGAAAACGATGTGGAGGGCAAATATTTTGCTATCTGAGATCACTAGTCAACTCTACTGAAGATGATCAGAGCACACTGACCGGAACGTCGAGTTTATACCCCTGGTTCTTTTCAGAACCATTCTCTTCATTGAGAAATCATTCGCACATGGTGTTTCCGCAATCTGTCAATCATTAGTCAATTCTAGTTTTTGAAGCTCTCGTGTGAATAGATTGTTATTTAACAGGTGACACAGGCGCAACCATCTACATAGCATTGCTTGCACTTCCTAATGGTTTTGGGAATATGACTTTTTTTTGTTCAATGTTGTCTCTCATTACGCGGTGTGTGCTCCATCAGCTGGAGAGAACAACAGTGACCGGGGGAGCGGGGGAGTGGGTGACTGTTGTTAGGCTCAGGAAGTGTCCCAACCATTTTGGCCGAGATTGTAGACTGTTCCCCGGCCCCACCTAAAGATATTTTTCAAGTCCAAAGGACAATGGGGTCAGGGAACCAGACTAGCCTGCACCCTTTAAACAGTTACAGCAGCTTTAATTATGTCTGTATATATATAGGGCATGATGAGTTACCCAGAATGCCATCCCTACTTCCCTCACAAGATTCTGTGAAGCTGACACACACAAAATAGGCTAAAAATTACAAAAATGATGAGATCAGATATGGAAATCTAACAGGCCTGAACCCCCACCCCATCCCGCCAAAATTCAAAATAGCCTACATAATAATAGTGTTCATTGTTGTGTAACGATAAGTATGTTTAGTGCACGTATAGGCCTAATACTAACGAGGCTGCCGTTGTCCAAACAAATGAAAACAGTTGACTCATTACTGCCCGAAACATTCACTTCAATTCTGTTTGTCTATGAAGCCAAAACAGATGCACACAGCAATGTTCCAGGTTTCTCCGCCTATTATTAAGACAAATTGTTTTTGAGGAGAATTCTAAGGAAGCCTGGTGGCCGAGTGGTTAGATCCGTCGTCCACGAATCGCGGAGCCCGGGTTCGAATCCCGTCGGTGTCTTTTGCTTTTCAACACGCGTTCTATTCAGTCATTATAAGATGTTTACTTTCCCGTCGTAAAATACCAACAGTACCTTAGCTTAATCGGTAAGCACTGCTGCTGGTACTGTCCGCGAATTCCAGGTTGGCACCTTCGTACAGGTTCAGGGCATGTGGTCCACTCGGAGGATCAGGGCTTAGGGGCCGCCCTGTTCCTCCCTTAGCTCTTTGCTTTTACATGGTGACTGGCCCTCCGGGGTTACATGGATGGACAGGGAAGGAAGTGTGTATTGGTCGGGGACGCCGAGACCCCGGAAGAGAACTAAGGGATTGGCTGGGGCATTGTTATGGCTCAGACCGATCCCTGAAAGCTTGACTAGCACATAACTTTTTGATTTTTTTTTTAGCCTCTATTTTTTAAAACTTTGTTTTAATTAGTTTGATGATTACATCTGCTCGGCAGGCCTACGGTAGTATTAAAAACAAAGCAAAGGTCTATGATAAATAAATGATTTTTTAATGATTGACAAACCAAGTTTTGTTCGATCAATATGACTTTGCCATTATTAATGTTGCAATTTTCAATTGAAGTAAGAAATGCAGTATGCAATATTGTACCGGGCAAAAATAAAAATGTACATTGTAATGTGTTTATTACATGTTTCAAAATAATAACGTTTCTTTCATTGTGAACATTCCCCAAATATAATTTTTATAGTTATTCGCAAAATAGGAAAACGCAAGAAAACAAAGCCCCTCACCCTTAAAACTGGAAATACAAAATAGAAAAACAAAGTCAAGTGGAAAACCCCAATGTACCTTAAGGATTGAATTGGAATATTCCATAACATGGGGCTTTTACAGACTTGCCTTTGACTGTCAGTGACATGCAGTCACGGATCCAGAGGGGCTGGGGGGTCGAACCCTTCTCCTGCTCTGAAACAATAAAGTACGTACATGTGTACGTATCTGAATCTGACGGGCCTGAACCACTCCCCCTCCTCCCAACCCATCCCCAGCAAAAGTTACTAGATCCACCTCTGACGTAAATTGGTACATTGATGTAAAATGTGATATCGACTTCTCACTATTTTGACCCAAATGAAGTTTCTGTAACTCATGAAGGATGAAAGAATGAAATGGGGTAAGCAATTATTGTTGGAGTCCCCAGAATGTGGGAAGGCCTTTGGGCCACGACCAAACAGCTAGGCAGCGGCATATCAGCCGATGACTCGTCCGTTCTTAAGTTGCCTTTTGACACCTTGAAAAACTGCCGATGATGAATATAAATGACCCGCCAAAAGCGTGGAACCCAAGAGGCGGCAGGGGCGGAACCAGACATTTTTGCGGGGGGGGGGGGGGGGGGGGGGGAGTTCGTCAGCCAAAAAAATCTGCAATGTAGACAGGTTTTTTTTCTCCGGACATTTTGGCCTCCGAAAATCGGGGGGGGGGGGGGAGGGGAGAGGGGATCGCACCATACTATTTGGGCGCAGTTCAAATTCGAAGATTATCAATGCTCACTTGTTACAGAACAGTGTACAAAAACCCCACGACGAAACTGCCTCTGCTGTCCGTATGTTGTGCACAGGCGGACGTTATTACCAGTATAGATTTGTTATAGTGTCAGCGTGGGGAGGGGGTTCACATCATTTTGAGATAATTTCTATGAAAACAATTGTTTAAGAGAACTGGGGGTCCCCCTCCTGGGATAGGGGCATGTCATAAAAATGTAAGGCTAACCCCTTGTATATTTTTTCAATTTTGGCCAAAAAATGAAATTGCTTGAAAGTTGCTAGAAAGATGCTTGAAGAGCACTAGAACACATTCCAAATCGAATTCTGGAGACGTGTGCTATTAAAGGGGAAATTCCGTCGAAAATTTCAGGTAAAATCACTCAAAAACTAATTTCTTTTTCTAGAAAAGCTGATGATTTTGCCCGAATCTTCAAAATTGTGCGTGAGAGAGTATTATTGATGATCCGCTTGCATCCAGATGAATTTCTGCCTAGTTTTCAGAAAAGTCAATTTTTGGCCAATTTTGACTAAAAATGTAAGGCAATGTATTTTTTTAAATTTTGGCCAAAAAATGAGTTTGCTTGAAAGTTGCTAGAAAGATGCTGTAAGGGCCCTAGAACACATTCCAAATCGATTTCTGGACAGATGTGCTATTAAAAGGGAAATTCCGTCAAAAAATTCAGGTAAAATCACTCAAAAATTAATTTCTTTTTCTATAAAAAATGGATGATTTTTGCCCAAATCTTTGAAACTGTGCGTGAGAGAGTATTGATTGATGATCCGCTTGCATCCGAATGAATTGCTGCCTTGTTTCAGAAAAGTCAATTTTTTTGCCAGTTTCGACTAAAAATGTAAGGCTAACCCCTTGTATATTTTTTTCAATTTTTGCCAACAAATGAAATTGCTGGAAAGTTGCTAGAAAGATGCTTCAAAATATTAGAACACAATCCAAATCGATTTCTGGAGAGGTGTGCTATTTAAGGGGAAATTCCGTCGAAAATATCAGGTAAAATCACTCAAAAATTAATTTCTTTTTCTAGAAAAGCTGATGATTTTGCCCGAATCTTCAAAATTGTGCTTGAGAGAGTATTGATTGATGATCCGCTTGCATCCAGATGAATTTCTGCCTTGTTTTCAGAAAAGTCAATTTTTGGCCAATTTTGACTAAAAATGTAAGGCTAACCCCTTGTATTTTTTTTCAATTTTGGCCAAAAAATGAATTTGCTTGAAAGTTGCTAGAAAGATGCTGTAAGGGCTCTAGAACACATTCCAATTCGAATTCTGGACTGATGTGCTATTAAAAGGGAAATTCCGTCGCAAATTTCAGGTAAAATCACTCAAAAATTAATTTCTTTTTTCTAAAAAAATGGATAAATTTTGCCCAAATCTTTGAAATTGTACGTGAGAGAGTATTAATTGATGATCCGCTTGCATCCAGATGAATTTCTACCTTGTTTTCAGAAAAGTCAATTTTTTGTCAATTTTGACTAAACATGTAAGGCTAACCCCTTGTTTTTTTTTCAATTTTGGCCAAAAAATGAATTTGCTTGAAAGTTGCTAGAAAGATGCTGTAAGGGCTCTAGAACACATTCCAAATCGATTTCTGGACTGATGTGCTATTTAAAGGGAAATTCCGTCGAAAATTTCAGGTAAAATCACTCAAAAATTAATTTCTTTTTCTAAAAAAAATTGATGATTTTTGCCCAAATCTTTAAAACTGTGCGTGAGAGAGTATTGATTGATGATCCTCTTGCATCCAAATGAATTTCTGCCTCGTTTCAGAAAAGTCAGTTTTTTTTGTCAGTTTTGACTAAAAGAGTAAGGCTAACCCCCTTGTATTTTTTTTCAATTTTGGCCAAAAAATGAAATTGCTTGAAAGTTGCTAGAAAGATGCTGTAAGGGCCCTAGAACACATTCCAAATCGATTTCTGGACAGATGTGCTTTTAAAGGGGAAATTCCGTCGAAAATATCAGGTAAAATCACTCAAAAATTAATTTCTTTTTCTAGAAAAGCTGATGATTTTGCCCGAATCTTCCAAATTGTGCTTGAGAGAGTATTGATTGATGATCCACTTGCATCGAGATGAAGTTCTAGCTTGTTTTCAGAAAAGTCAATTTTTGGCCAATTTTGACTAAAAATGTAAGGCTAACCCCTTGTATTTTTTTTCAATTTTGGCCATAAAATGAATTTGCTTGAAAGTTACTAGAAAGATGCTGTAAGGTCCCTAGAACACATTCCAATTCGATTTCTGGACAGATGTGCTATTAAAAGGGAAATTCCGTCAAAAATTTCAGGTAAAATCACTCAAAAATTAATTTCTTTTTCTAAAAAAAATGGATGATTTTTGCCCAAATCTTTGAAACTGTGCGTGAGAGAGTATTGATTGATGATCCTCTTGCATCCGAATGAATTGC